AAAAAAAAAGTATATATATATATATATATATATATATATATATATATATATATATATATATATATATATATATATATATTCTAATTGGAAAAACTAATCAACTCTAAAATTATAATTTTGCCACGTAATTAGTAGTTAGTAGGACATGGAAGCAAGAGTTTAAGTTACACATTGTTGTTGGTTTGAAAAAAAATTACATAAGGTAAATGAAAAGAATATCCACATTTTGTTTCTTTAAAACGTGAGATTCTTAATTTTAAAATTAAGACGAATTATCTATTATATTAATAAAATTCATCGCTAAATGTGAAATTAAGATCCGTATATGATGTATGATTCAAATTCATCCCATAGTTGGTTAGTGTCTTCTCTCCGATAACTATTTTAAACAATGTTAAGTCTAAATATGCTCGTAGTTATGCTACTTATTAATTAAAAGACCGATCAGAAAATAAAAATCATAATATAATATAACAACTGTAAATAAATATTATTTTCCTTCTCTTTTCGACTTTAGTTGACTTGTAAAAATTTGTTATGTCTTATTCCCTCCTCTGCCAACTATTGGGGATATAATGTCAACAACAATAAAAGCTACTATTCATGCTAATCGACGTGAGTTGTGATATAGTGGTAAATTTGTTTCACCCTTAATTAAAAGTTTTGAGTTTGAGTCCTAAATATAAAGAAAAATTTTGTTGGAAGCAGCGTCATTCCTAAATGATTCCTCCTGCAGTGGGCTACAATGTGAATTTCAGACATGAAAAACTACAAAAAGAAAAAAAACGCTAATCAAGCTAAGACCGGAAGGGACAAATTTACATGTGCTTTGTCTCCTTTCTTTGAGATCAAGGCTCAAAAAGACGACTCTATTTTACTAAGAAGGCACCATATTCATTACCAAGCGTGGGGTGACTAATAATTTCGAATTTCTCTGCTTTGCTATTATAGGTTATACTTGTCATTGATTTTTATCATCCAATTAAATTACTCGATTCTTGAGTGTTTCCTTGTCAACAACATTACTGATAGAATATATATAACTTTGAACTCAATAAGACTAATGATGTGAAGTTGAAACGGTGGAAATACTATTTTTAAATTATTATTTTCTTCAACCTTTTTTTGAGCATATATAAACGTGTCTCTTAACTAACCTCATTTCATATTTATGCCTTTCTAACTTTGGTTGTGCTCAAGTATGCGTTTAAACTTGTATGTAATTGAACAAGTAGACACATGAATATTATACGTAGAACATCAGGTAGGATGCAAATTGTCACATAAGGTGTAGCGTAGGAAATGTGTGTACTCTTCCTGTTTTACTTTACACAAATTTAAGTGTCTGCTAATACACATATAAAAATCAAAGAATAATTAAATAACGTATTTACCTTAGCACGCTCTTAATTACCAACCTAAATGGCTGGCTAATATAATAACAACGGAGCAAGTATTTTTTTCTTTTGGCTTTTAATTTGTACACACACATGTTTTCTTAGGGCTGGCTTGACTTTGACTAAAAGGGGAAATAAATTCAACATATGAACAAGAAAATAAATTAGTACTAAGATATTTCTTGATGAAGTTTACATTCATCAACTATAAATTTTAATAAATATAAGCTGTGATCCTCCATCTCAGCCTCTTAAATTTGCATTCTAAGTACTATAATTATTCCATTCTCTTCATTTATTCAAATTTAATTAAATTTTTGCTTCTTCTTTTTCCAATTAATTAGTTTACTTTACTTTACTTAATTGATACATTTGATTTGAAGAAACAATTAAGGCTATATATATGGAATTCACTTTGCTTGATACTTGCTTGGATTTAAGTTTGAATTCTACAACATCTCTTGATGAACTACCAATTGTATGTCCAAACTTTTCAACATATCCATCAATGAATGAATTTCTACACTACTATATGCTCTACTTAATATATTCCTTTCATATTTTTTTGCTTTCAGAAACATCAAGAAGTGATTGGATTGGGAGGAGACATGCCATCAAATGATGAGGTTTGTCAATCTTCTTTTTAGTGTGTATCAACTGACATTTATGTTTTTCAATTTTGGGTATACGAAAGTTGATACTTAGATTATTTAAAAGTTAAGCAAATAGAGACACACGTCCTATATATGTGACATAACATACATAGAATGCCACATGGGACATACATTTCTACTTATTCACCTTCTGGATCATTTAGTTACTTACTTTTATATACTTAAAGTTGGAAGACATATAATGTCACTCAATGTTAAGTTAAAGGATGACATGTTTATGTATTATGTCCTATTTATACCGTCAACATATATAATTAATTAGTTAACTAACTAAATCTGTTGATCTAAATGTGTGTTTAGGCTGCAAGTGATCATTTTGCAAAGGAAGTAAAGAGATTGAGTGGTGAAAACAAGAAGCTACGAGAAATGCTGAGTGTAATGTATGACAACTATAATACTTTGAGAAAACAATACATGAACAATTGTAGTACTAGTGGAACTTCAAGAAAACGAAAAGCTGAAAAAATCACCTCTAGAGTAAATTCGGAGCTAAGTGATGAAGACTCTTCGTGCAACAAATCAAGAGTACTAGTACAGCATCACCGCATTCAAAGATCTGACCATACAACTCTCGTAAGCTGAACTTGCATTATCAGGTTACCTAAAAGATAGTTATCCATGTAATATGTCACTAGTCATCCCAAAAATAAAACAGATATCTCGTTAGGTACAATCAATTAACTTACACCAATAGTAACAAATTTTTTAAAAAAAATCGTACATAAATCAAGTTAAATCCAATTTGGCCTAATTTACAGAGTCCCTTTAAAGTAAATTTTTTTTTGTATATCATGTATATATGCTAATGTATACAAGACATAATGCAGCTAGTGAAGGATGGATATGAGTGGCGTAAATACGGTCAAAAAGTAACAAGAAACAACCCGTATCCTAGAGCGTACTTCAAGTGTTCATTTGCTCCTACTTGCCCCGTTAAGAAAAAGGTAACAACTCTAAATAAAACGTACCAAGTTTAGAGGGGTCTTTAGGTATTTCGATATGTCTTTCCTAATATGTATATTGATCGCGTATGTATAATTATATATACATTGTGTCTAATTATACTCCAAGAGTATAGTCAAAATAGTTGTTACAAGTTTTAACTTATAACTACACATTTTTGTAGGTGCAAAGAAGCATTGATGATATGTCTATTATAATAGCAACATATGAAGGAGAACATAACCATTCAAAAGTAGTACTAGAGGCTGGTGAGGGCTCTAGTGCTACTACAATTGGGCATAGTCACAAGCAGCCAGAGTTTAACAAGTTGTTGATAGACCAAATGGCGTCATCCTTAACCAGAGACCCCAAATTTAAAGCTGCCCTTGCTGCTGCCCTTCACGAAAAAAACTACCCTTACACATAAATAGAGGGTTGTTATACATTGGCTACACGCAATTATTCAATATTAAGAAGGGCTCACTCGAGAGAAGACAATGTAACCAACTATTCATACAATATTACAGTGGACTTAAAGTCTCACATTGCTTGAGGAATGAACTAATGGTCTACTTATATGAACTTGAATAACTTTCCTTCATGAGCTAGCTTTTGGGTGAAGTTAGACCCACGTGTCATATCCAATAAAAACAGGGAGTATGTGTGGACTAGGAGGCTCAAGTGTGAATGGGAATTATTAGAATTGACTTATTTTCAAAGTGCAGCCAAATTTTGAATTCCCTTTTTCTATGCTATGAAATGCAAGTTCATGATGTGACAACATTTCTTAATATACATAGCCTTCATTTCTGCTTTCTTTGAAGTATTAGAATCCTTTCTTTTTAGTATTAGAATCATTAAGTGTCAATGGTATCCTTCTATTATTACAACTTAATTTGTATGTGAGTGCCTTTGAAGTTTTAATTCTTGTCCCAAATTGATGTTCCTTCATACTATTTTCAAGTAAAGATGTAAATATACACATGTTCTATATTGATTTTTATTATTATTAGGCTTAAGTCATGTGTGGCCCCTTAAAGTTGTTCGTATAATTCATTTAGACATTTTAACAAACATTGTTTTCTATTAGACACTCTAACCTTAACAAATACATACCTATTGAACATTTTTCTGACACTCAATCAAAAGAGAAAGTGCGTGTAATACACATGCACATGATGTGACAAAATAGCAAATCAAATAAAAACACGTGGCATTTTAATTTAAAATAATTATCAAAATAAATTTTAAATATTAATAAGTCAAAATCTTTAAGAAAAGACTTTAAATTTTTCTTTAAAAAAAATATAAAAAAAGAAAGAAATTATACAACCCCCCTTCACCCACCCCGCAGTCCACCCCATACAAATCTTTCCCTTTCTTTTCTTTCTATAACAGCTCCACCTTCCACCTTCCACCATTGTTAATTCTCCATTTAGAACAAATAGATATTTAACATATATTAGGTATAAACTTATCATTTTAATATCTTTTATGTCTTCTTGCTCATTTTCATTTGAATTGATGGTGTTTTATTAAAAGATTCTCATTCTTCCTTTGTTTATTTTGATATTTTCAAATTTGTATTTTTTTTTGTTTTTATGTTTCTACTTAGATTTGGGAGGAAGAAGGGGCGTAGATCAAGGTGGTTTGTGGCGGGAGAGGTGAAGAGGGAGAGAGAAGATATTTTATTAATGATCTTCATTTTTTCCGGCAAAGAAGTTGTAGATGATTTCCATTTTTTTTTATAAATAAGGCATCTTCATTTTTTTGATAAAAGATTGTGAATGGCAATCTCCATTCGGAAGTTGACAATTATTAGAATATTAAAAAAAGAAAAAGAAAACATGAAATTTGTAAAAGTAAATATAAAATTAAAAATTACCATGGATTTGTAAAGCAAAGTGGTCTCAGATGGTGAAAGTGAAGAAGATAAAAAAAAATGTTACTGTTAAAAAAATAATGAGAAAATTAAAGGGAAAGATTAAAAAGGAAAAGGAAAAATATTAAAATATGAACTTCACGCGTTCACCAAGATGTGAATTACACTTTCTGTGCCACTTCAGCAAAAGTGTCTAAATGAATCAAATTCGAGTTAGTAGAGGTGTTTAATCGGTATTAGGCCTAGTTAAGGTATCTAAGTGAATTATGTGGACAACTTTAAGGGGCTATAGATGACTTAGGCCTTATTATTACTATTATTACTATTATTATTATTATTATTATTGATGAAGTGGGGTCTCAGCCACTAAATTTAGTACTAATACAGTGTAGGCCAGAAACCATACTAGGAATCTTATTAGTCAACCACCATATAATAATGACCTCACTAATCCTTTGTTCTTTTTAACAAACTAATACTACTCTAAGTTTAAAAAAGAAAGACTTAGTTTGATTTGATATTGAGTTTAAGAAAATAAAGAGGACGTTTCAATTGTGTAATCCTAAATTAAATTTATGTCAAAATATAGGAAAAATGCACAAGTATTTTCTCAACATATGTCCGAAATCTCAGAGACACACTTATACTATACTAAGGTCTTATTACCCCTTGAACTTTTTTTATAAATAATTTTTTTTACCCCTTTTCGGCATACGTAGCATTAGCTTGAAAAAAAAATCAACCAGTTTTGGACCCACAAGACAGTGTCACGCAAACCAAAAAGATGTAGAAAATTATTAAATAAAATAAGTTCAGGAAGTAATAGGATTTTAGTATAGTTTAAATGTGTCTCTGAGATTTCGTGCATAGATTGAGAGGTAATTGTGCATTATCTCCAAAATATAATTTAATCTTATAATTTTAAACATAACACGTAAAAAGCTAAAATTAAAGTGTTACAAAAAAAATGTCATTTTTATTAAACAGACTAAAAAAGAAAAAAAGACATTCTTTTTGAATCCCGGAGGACTCCTATTTTAAAAGCTTGGACACTAAGTCTGAGAGTGCTATAAAATAAGAAGATTGATAACAAAGGCAAATGGAGTACCTATTAAATGGACATGACTTACAGAACAATAACAGTAGATATATTTCAAACTTAAAACAAATTTCAAAGTACCAATTACACAATAGTACTAGTGACTTAAACAAACAATTTCAAAATCCAACTACATAACCTTCTTAGCCGAAACCCATTAAATCCTGAAACATACATATGATAGTCCAACGAACACCAATATCGACCCAAAATTACCATGAAATGTCACCGGAGCATCAGATTTTTCGGAAGAATGCACCGCGGAGACGGCGTCTGACCTAGGAGGAGGTGAAAGAGGGTGAACAAGAACAGAGACCTTCATGCCATTAGAACATCCACCAATGCCACAAATGAAGTAGTACCTCTTGGACTTGTCAAGTAAAATGAAGTCTTTTCCACTACTCCAATTCCTTAGTGCACCTTCTATTGTGCAATTATTGTATCCTACTTTGTCCACTTGTAACACATTGTGTTGTGTCTTTTGATACCTAAATGCTGCCACACCAAACAAGGGATACATTTTATGCATTCATAAATCATCCCATTAACTATAAAATCGGAGTTTACTTTTAAATAGGGAAGTATGCCATTTTCTTGGATTTGTACATGTATGATGCATAAATTGAGACAGTAATATTATTTCTTTATATAAAAAAAAAGGGGAAAAGTGCTTAAATATGTAACTGAACTTTGAGAAAATGATATGTAGGTCATAAGTGATTCATTTACATTATTTTCATTTGAGAAAATATTCATCCATGTCATTATTTGTTAACTGAAAACAATTTCGATTGTGTAAAAAATAATATTTACACGTAGTCAAGCTATAATTCGATCACGTCACTCATTTTTAACGGTAAAAGACTCAAATATGCATCGAACTTTTAGAAAAAATCATCGATGTCATTCATTAAATAGTTGGCTAGTATATGTCATTTTTTTAGTATACAAATGATGACATGAATGAACCTTTTATCAAACACAAACGGCATAGATAAGTCAAACTTTTAATAGATGACATAAATATTTCTTTTCTCAAAGTTCAATTGAAAATTTAAGTCTTTTCAAAAAAAAAAAACTATAACATTACCTTCTAATTAATTGGGAAGTATAAAGTAATGATACGTTTAAGGAAAGATAGAAAGGTAATTTAGACAAAACAAAAATTATAAGCACACTATTAACTATCTAGGAAAAATTATAAAAGATAGATAATATGAATAGAACGTCGTACATATGAAGTCACCAATGTAGAAGGTTTGGTTGTTGCTCCAAATGGTGTAATTGATGCCGGGATTCCAACCTTTGTTAGCTCCGACTATGTGATCAGTGGCGGAGATGGTGGTGGCAACGATGGCGGTGGTGACGATGAGGAAGAATACATGAAGAGCCATGTAATTGACCAGAGCTAAGTCCTGTTTTTCATTTGCTACTACTTATTAACCTTAAAAATTAAGGCTAGATGGCAACCTTTATATAAAGGACTCCATAGGTAAAAAGTTAGATAAACCATCATTATAGATTGTACATATTTATTAGGTAACAATTCACTTTTACACACACCTCCTATATATGATGTAAAATTTTTTCTTTATTTTTACCTAGCAAAAAGTTTTATGGTACAATGGTGGCTAACAAATTTCATAATGGAACATACTATTTTAAGTTAAATTTATTCTTTTACGCCATTATTTGATAGCTGAATAAGAAATAAGTTATTTATATATTAATTTTTGAATAATTTATATGACATTTAATATGCAGCAAAAAATAAGTTATTCATTATAAAATTAATATGATGTTGGGCTGACATTAAAAATAGACATAACTAAAATATGTACAACTGTCACATGAATAACTAACCCTATCATAATATCCACATAAAATAATACACTCTATAATGGTAATACATGAATAACTCTATATTGCACGCACTATTCTTGTTTAACGAGTGATTTTATATTAGGCATCACTTATTGCAAGTATGTACGTACATTGTTATTGTATAAAGTTCATTAACCACATGTACTATATTACTTTATAAGTATGTACGTGGATCCACTGCTCATGATTGATGATATCTAGCCCTGTATACACCGTGAGTTTAAAGCAAAGTCCCAATGATGACCATTTTAATAATGAAACGGAGTGGAATAGTAAGTATTTATCCATTTTTAACTAGAGATTTCGAATTTGAACCTAACATTATAACATATCATGAAAGCACACTAGATGGTCCCGGAGCGCAGTTGAATGTAGATATCATGAACGTAACCTGAGCAACCATTTCTCTGTGTGCCAATCGCTAGCGCATCTAGAGCCAAAGAGAAGCAGTCGCAGAGCCAGGAATTTCACGAAGGGTGTTTAAGTGCTAAATTGAGCCTGCTCATTCTTAAAAAATAGCAGAGTCAAAAATTTCACGAAGGATGTCCAACTGATAAATTGAACCTGCTCTTCTTTAAAAATGGAAACAGATTTTGCTAGTAGTGAGATTTGAACACACAAGCACTTTAAGTTTGTGTGTCTTTACTCTTTCGAGACGCTTGAAACCACTAGGCTACATTCATGTCAAGGGCGTCCAAAATATTTTATTTAGCCACTTTGTTTACCATTTTGCTTGTAACAGTATACGAAGGGTGTCCAATTGAACGCCCTGACATAACCGTAGGTACGCCACTGTAGAGAAGCTTAACCGATATGAGAAGTGCTAATTCAGTTCAGATAGACTTCATGTCACGCCCCACCGCCCAAAAGTAGGACTTTGTGATGCTAATTCAGATTTTACTCGGCCGCCAGATACCAGACATCGGGTGGAGAGACAACAAAATGAAAGCAGGAAGCAACAACAAAAATAAGATGAGAGAATCAAGTGTGTAGCAGCACGCCTCATGTGTAAAGAAAGCCACGCCTCAATCACCTTGCCTCTTAAAAGTAAATGGTCTACTATTACTAGTTGTCTACTCTACTACTATTTTTATTTTCATGATCATGACACTAAAAGTAGCAGACCAAAATTAACTCTAATTAATCCCTACCACTAGGCACGTAATAATTTTTATAAGTACTAATAATAATAATGTTCGGTCTACAAATAAACCTGTATCCGATGATATGGGACAACTACAATTCCAGGATAGGGATATTGATCTAGTCTTTATAGGATAATTTAACTATTCATTAAAGAGTAAAAAGCTTATAAGAAAAACAAATTTAGTCCTACAAAACAACTTAACCAGATGAATCAGTCATCAATATGGAAGCCTATTTGGTAGTTCGATTTCACATGAACAAATTAGTATCTCCATACCAAAAGAGTTAGGTAGTTCATTGGAACAAAAGACACAACTCACTTCCCAGAACAAAAGTTATTGCAAAAACAACAGATCTTACTGAATATAGGCGTATTCCGCAGAGCAAACAATCAAAATCCACATTTAAGTTGAACAACTAATGGTTCTTCTCTCTACAACAGGGAAAACGCTACACTCATCAATTCCACTAAACTGAAAACATCTTTGTCCCGTGTAAATTATTGGCCTATCTGAAGCTATACATACAGATCTTCTGATATTATCTAAAATGCTACCTTTTTATTTATCAAAACTTCAAAAGCTTACAGCAACAGCATGACTCTTCCTGTATAGGAGATGATAAGTGTTACCATTTTTAGCTGCATTATCATTATAGTGAGATCCTGCTATGGCATATCGTTAGATGTTGCTGTGCTTCCGTTACATACAGAATTTTGATTAGAGGCCAGTGGTTGCTCCTCGTTGGATGTGGAGATCTTGAAAGGTTTCTTGAATTGTACCAAGATCATGGTCATGTTGTCGCATCCTTCTCCACCCGTGGCTGGGGCCAAACATTTGTCCATCACTGTCTCACAAACAGCTGATAGCCTATTTTCCTGCACAAATAGTGTGACATCATTGATTTTTTACAAGCTAAAAAGCTGATTTTAACTGCAAACAGGATAAATAATGACACTTACATGTTTTAACTGTTTCCCAACGAAGTCCACGACTTCTTGGCTTGACATGCAATCCCTAATGCACAAGAAATACAGATATGAAATTCTAGTGTTATGATAGAAGTAATAACTAAAAAAGGGGTGCAAACAGGCCTCGAAAAGGTACTCACATCTAACATAAACTGAATTCCTACGTACAAGAAAATAACCACGTGGCAGAGAATTTCTAACTACACTGAAAAGATGCAAGTTCCACCTTCCTTGGTTGACTTCATCATTTTTCCTCTTTTGGTATGGAAACAACCATTTAACTTCAAAAAGACCAATAAAAACCCACACCAATATTTTCCCTCGTGGATCTTGTCAACCTACTAGCAAACAGTATGCAAATTCATGTACTCTAAGCCAGCAGTCTAACAACTCCGGAAGAAACATAAGCTGGTATTCCCCTAAAAATCATCGAATGATGGTTTCAAATACAGTTGACCAAATTGGGAAGATAAAATTAAAATGATACAATATACTTACCATATGCCATCACAAGCTAGAACAAGGAAATCATCATCATTGCAGAGCTCAACCTTGTTTGAGAAAAATTCGGAAAAAAAATGTTAATTACACAAATCATATCCTCAGCTAGAGAGGAACACATAAACTCTCAATTCTGATCAGTTATTAATTTAAGAAAAGCAATAATGCTTTCTTCAGAAACGACCTTTCATCTCACTGTACACACTACACAAAAAACATAATGTAGATCTTCCTCCACAAATTACATATTTATACAGATTCATAAGCCATTGAATTTACTTACAGTGCAGATATCAGGATTAGCAGTCACTATTTGTTTTTCAGCAGGCAATGATTTGTTCTGTTTCAGCTCCATGTCTCCTGAAATCATCAAATTGATCAGACCGGGAATAACACAAAGAGAAAAAAGGAAACTCGCTATAGTATATTTGAGAAAATGCAATATTTTTCAACTACCGATTGCTCTTGACATATTTAGAGTCCCGTTGACCCGTCCACACCGAACATATCCACCGGCATTTCTAATCCTTTCCTTTTCAGCTTGAAGGTCAGGCTTATGGTCACTAGACATATCATATGCCTGCATAACATTTTTTGTGCTTAATACAACTGTGCCTACTTAGAAGAAAGACATGCATCATGTACAATGATGCAAAATCACTCTTAACCTTCCCAGACGACAACATTTTGATGAAAGAAAATTTTCCTCTAGGATACGAAGACACACCAAAGATCTGCAAATTGCTGGGAATTAAATATCTTGGGCAGAAAAAGAGAACATGGAGTTTCTGCAAAACCATGAGAAAGAAAGGTTACATGCAGAAAGTTTTCTTCTGCAAAAGATCCCTCCTCTCCACATTCAAAATTTCCAAGAGGTCAAGAATAAGGTATTCAGTCCAAAATTTGTGAGCAGGCCACCAAGGGGTCAGGGGAAGTTCTCACTTTCTTCTCATAAATGAACCTTAAAATACTATCATGGAATATTATGAGGGTTGAATGATTTCACAAACCTCATCAAAACTCTCCTACTCAAGCGGAAATTGATATATGTTTCCCTTCAAGAAACAAATTGAGGTTTGGTCTCCTAGTTGGCTGGAAAATTACTCTTTGGTAGATGGACTGGTTATGTAACATTCATCTCTGAGGGTATTATTATACTGTAGGATAGGGGAATCTCGAGGGGAAATATAGATCTCAAAGGTCTTCACTCCATCTCCATTTCTCTGTCTGATTTAATACACAACTTCTCTTGGAACCTGACAGGAGTTTATGCTCCACAAAAAGACTGGCCCAGAATTTGCTATCGCTCGAGTTAACGTCTGCCAGGGGCTTATCGGAGGGACCTTGGGTTATTGGGGCTTAGAACTCTTTCTTTACATTTTTTTGGTGCAAGTTGCCTTAGCACAGGATGTAGATATTTTGTCAGACATGATTGAAGATAGCACAATTTGTAACTTCACTCTTTGCACTTGCTTGAAGTCGATCGTTTATCTAATACTATTTCTTTGTCATTATCATAAAGAAAATCCTGGACCAGAACATTCAACTGCTTCAAACATAAATGGTACCTGACCCTTCCGAGATAACACACAGCGAGAATCACCAGCGTTTGCTACAAGAAGTTGGACATTCTGAATGATTGCTATACAAGCTGTGCTTCCTGCAGATGGCCCACGGTAATCAGAGTTGGCCCCCTACATTGGAAAAAAAAAAGAAGCAAAATGTTAAAAAAATTGAACTCTAGTATATTGATTAAAAATCGTTAGAAAATAAATTTTTAGAATCTTAATATTTATAACTATGAGCAGTCTATTGGAGTAATGAGACCACTGCAAAACTAGAAGTTCACAGTACTTTCTGTAACCTCTTATTGAGTCTTATACCCTTTATTTTTGGATAAATATATCTCAGACCTCTGAGAATAAAAAGACTTGAAAATAATATACCTGAAGATATTTTCAACACTTCTGTTTCTCATTCTTTCTTTTATTACAAATATATCGCGTCATTTGTAGGGGGGTGGGATTTGAAACGAGCACAAGCATTTAAAATGATTCAAAATAGATTTTCTTTAATCTAGAGTACTTCAATCCCAATTATGAACCAACATGGTTCAGTACAATGTTCAACAGAAGTCGGACAATGGCAAGAGTAGAATAACCTCCGTTCATGCTGCTAGAATGATAAAGATACTACGACATTTAATGGGAATTGATACTAGATTAACCAAAAGATCAAATTACATTCGCCTATGGGGCGGGGGCGGGGGGCGGGGGAGGGGGAGAAAGGTGATTGTTAAAGAACTAATTATGAATCATATAGAAGATACAATTCCTGTCATTGTATAGCATTTTCAGAAAAATCAACAACAAACACAGTGTGATCCCACAAGGAGTACATAAACTTCACCCCTACCTTGTGAGGTAGAGAATGGAGATTTCGATATACCCTCGGCTCAAAGAAAAAACTTGAAATAGGTTTAAAAAGTACAAGGTGAGAGAAGCTCTGATGAAATTACTAACCAAAAAAAAAGAAAAGAGAGAAATATTGGTAGCAAAAATAGTAAGACAACAAAGAAAAAGAACAATAGTGATATAATTGATGAATAAGAGGATCCTGAAATAATAATGATAATACTAAAAAGGAGAAGAGGGAGCAGCTAAGGTACTCCAAGCGGAAAGAGAGAAATCGCTCAACTACCTGCTAACCTTTTACCCTAATCCTTGGTCTCCATGCTCTCCTATCTAGGGTCATGTCCTCGATGAGTTGAAGATATTCTATCTACTATCTATTCACCTCTCCCCAATTCTTCTTCGATCTACTTCTAACTCTCCTTAGGCCTATCACTATCAACCTCTCGCACCTCTTCACTAGGTCATTTCTGCTTATCTCCACAAGACAGAACCATCTTAGTCTTAGTCTTAGTCTTGCTTTCCTGATATTATCCACCACAGAGACCATTTCAACCTTGCCTAAATATTTCATTTCTAATCTTATCGCTCCTGATATAACCACACATCCATCAAAGTATCCTTATTACTGCTACTTCTTTCATCTTTTGAACGTGTGAGTACTTGACTGGCCAACACTTTGCTCCATACAAAATAGTTGGTGTAACAACTACTTTGTAGAACTTACTTTCCTCTAAATATGGGAGACACCATCGTACTACATAGATCATCAGATGCAAGCTTCAATTCCTTCTACTTTGCTCTAATACAATACGTAACATCATCATCTATCTTCCCGCTTCCTTGGATCCCTAATGCAACACCATCATTACTGAGAAGTGTTCCGTGAGAAGTGTTCCGAATTTCCCCCACGATTCTTACTCGGGTCTTGGAGCAAACATAACCTTAATCACTCTAATGTAAGCCACAAGTATGGTTCTCGACACCAAGCATCTCCATATAATGTCCCGTGGGACTTTAATTGCATGCCTTTAAAACTTGTCTACAAACTATGTAGGCCCAATAGGTACAATTCTCTTTTCTCTTCCTCCCTTCTACACAACATTTCTACATGGCATCAGAGCCAATTTTATTTTTTTTGATAATGGTAACTTTACTTCTATATATTCACAGGTATACTATAACCATAGTGTAGTACCCCTTCAAAAGTATTACAACTTGTAATTCAGTTCTGTGCCTTACAAAAAGTTAAAAACATCACAAATATCTTCTGTTTGAGCTAGTAGTTTTTGCTCACACCAAAAATAATAAAGGCCTAAACAATTCATTTTAAGATTCTGAATGTTGTTCTGTGTCCCCTCAAAGCACCTTTTGTTCCTCTCAATCCAATTTGACCACCAAATACATGCTGGGACGATCTTCCATTTTTCTTCCTTCTTGCTCACATTACCATCCATATTCCAGCATCTTAAGACGTCTGCAATGCTTCCAGCTTTCACCCGATTTATCCCTTTCCAACTGATGAACATCCTCCAAAGTTGATATGTCCATTTGCAGTGCAAAAAAAGATGGTTGATTGCCTCAGCTTTTTCCCCACATAAAAACAGCTAGCGGTTAGTTGGTGACCCCTTTTGTTCAGGTTATCATGAGTTAACACTGCTTCTTGACCAGAAGCCAGATGAAACAGTTAACTTTGTAGGGAATTTTCAGTTTCCATATCATCTTCGAAAGCCAATCTCTTTCCTTCACCACTTCTACATTTAGCTCCCTATATGCAGATCTGATAGAAAAATATTGTTTCTGTTCCATTCTAGTCTGCCCACTTCGTCAGTCAGATTGTTGAAACTTGCTACTGAGTTATAGAATTCTGTTATCCTCCCAATCTCCCAATCATTCAGATATCTCCTTAGATACAGATTCCATCCTTGTCCAGTCCACATCATGGCAACTGTGGCTTCTTGTTGCTGGCTTAGAGTGTATAGCTCCGGATGTTGTTGTTTCATTGTTAAAAGCCCTGCCTAAGCCCTGCCTACTTGTCATGCCAAAAAGAGGTTTTCTACCCATTTCCTATCCTCACCTTAGTTCTGATCTGCATCTTTGGCCAAAGATTCTTAATAGCTCTCCAGATTGAACATCCATAGGGTGTTATGACATTCTTAGTCATCCAATTATCTCCCATACCATACTTTGCAAGAATGGCTTCTTTCCACAACATTTCTTCTTCAGTAGCAAATTTCCACAACCATTTCATCATCAGGCTTTGATTCTGCTTTTTCTTATTCTTGATACTTGGACCTCCTGCTTTCTTGTTCACTAACAGCTCCTCCCACGTAACTAGGTGATATTTCTTCTTATCTTCATTCCCCTGCCATCCAAAATTCCATCTCAGGACATCTATTTACTTGCTGACACTAGAAGGCATCCGGAAAATGGATATCAAGTAGGAAGGTAATGTGTTTAATACACTGTTTACTAGGGTTAGTCTGCGTCCCCTGGAGAGGTGTTGACTCTTCCAATTTGTAAACCTCTTTGTACAAATTTCCACCACCCCGTTCCAAAATGTTGTGGATTTACTTTTAGCTCCCAAAGGCATTCCAAGGTATGTGGTAGGAAGTTCCCCTACTCTTCCTCCTAATTTACTTGCTAGAGCATCTATCTCACTGACTGTGTGAATAGGATATATAAAACTCTTCCCCCAGTTTATATGTAACCCAGATACTGTTTCAGAAATTATGAAGATGACCCTTAGTATCAGAACTTGTTCATCCTTTGTTTCACAAAATACTAAGGTGTTATCTGCATACTGTAAGTTAGTGAGTAAATTCTCAAAATTCCTTCTCTTCTCTTTTCTATAAAGGCAACTTGTTCATGTAAAACAATGTTCAGGAAAACATGGTTTTGATAGAACACTTTGTTTCACTGTTTCCTCAAGCAAAAAGTATCATTCAGCATTTGGTTGTACCATCTGTTTCACTATTCCCTCAGTGCAAACATATCATTCAACATTTGGTTGTAACATCTCACCTCAAAAATATTTCGACCCAAAGTCTATCATGTGCTTTCTGAAGCCCCTTTCACTTGTAGATAATTAATTCAACTTTTTGGAAGTTGACATTTAGCCATGACATTTGTGTTTGTGTGTTTAAACTTTAAGTGCAATATTATATTAAGTTGAAATAATGATCTGAAAGTGTATTTTAAGTGAAATTATCTAATATTCAACTTCCATTCAAAACATCATGTTTACAAACTTTTTTTAAGCAGAGTTCCTATCAAAACACAACTTGAACTTGTGATGCCCCTAATGAAGGGCGAGTCAAGCAGGACTATTAGGCTTCTAGGCTAGCAAGCTTCTAAGGTTGAGGTACACATGACAACTTAAAGAGAATCTCACAATAGAATGAGAGAAGAAAGTGAAGATCTTTATAAGGCATATTTCTAGTTCACACAGTACATGTACTTTTGAGGCTCGATTGGTGTAGCCTGCAAGACAAATTCATGCGGACCTAAGCCTAAGACGGCCAATACGTGTTATGGACTTGGTTCAGGAAAAATATGGTATCAAAGCTTGTACTCCCTCAGTACAATGGTGGAGAACCTCAGCATCCTCGCTGAGTCCCTAAGAAGGGTATATGTGATGCCCCTAATGAAGGTGGGTCGATGAGGCCAGGTCAAGTAGGACTGACAGGTTTTTAGGCTAGCAAGCTTCAAAAAATGAGGTGCCATGTTCTATGTCAGAATAAGGGAGGGGCCAATGAAGACATGACTCAAATTCACATGGTACGCATACTTTTGGGCCAATGTCTCAAAGCGAACAATACATGTCATAGACTTGGATTGTGAAATATGTAGTATTCAAACCATGTCCTTTGTCAGTACGATACTGTGGGCAAACCTTAAGAAGTATGTTGATTCCCCAAGGGAAGTATACGTGATGCCCCTGACAAAGGATTGGTTGATAAGGGCAGGACTGGCAAGCTTCAAAGATGAGATGCATATGACATCTTCCCATATCAAAATGGGGGAGGAAAGTGAAGTGTTTTATAAGGCATAGCTCAAGTTCACATAATACACACTCTTTTGGGACCCAATGCGGTGTAGCACAAAAGAAAAATTCAACTTGGCCTAGGCCCAATTTGGACAATACGTGCTATGAACTTGAGTCATGACAGAGCTTTTAAAATTTCTTTTCAACTTCACAGTCTTCATCAAGTTCAACTCAATTTTTTGTCAAAACATATTTAGCCTAAAAATGTTGTCGTTACACTATTTCAATGGACATTATTTTTTAGGATTGATATATATATTTAGCCCCCCCCCCCCCCCACACACACACACAAGGAACTTCTTTTCACGAAATCCCTACTACACAAAAATTGTTCAAACTGGTAAATGTGTATTTCTCAGCATTAAGGACATGTTGTAGACCATCAGAAAGTGTTAGATACAGAAAAAACAAAGAGAAAAGAAGATACTTGGATCTTGAAAAAAAAGAGAAAAGAACATACTGGGATCTTGATAAATCTACAAAATGATCTAGATCCTCTAAACCTACTTCTTTACACCAAAAATAGAAAGATCCTATACAATGGAATGAATGGAATTGTTTCTATAAAACATCTCCTATTTCTTTCTCTCCAAACTGTCCACCAATGCATTGTGGAATAGTTCTCCACCACTTCATTTGGTTTTGCTACCTCCTCTTTTCATCCAGCAGCTAAGCAATCTGGAGTATGCTCAGAGGCATAGCCTAACTTGTCTCTGCTGATATTGAGGATAAGGACCAAAGTTGTGCTGTGAATGTGCAGTGTAAAAACAGATGGCTATTGGTTTTATCTGTCTCTTTGCACATGAAACACCTGAAAACTATGGTAGCCTCTTTATTCTTCAACACTTCTTGTGTCAGGCATGCTCTTCATACCATCTTATCTTCCTCCACCATAGCTCTCCTCTCTACTCACCATAAACTATATTCTTGAACTCCAAGAGAAAAAAACCAGAATTGCTCCGTTCTCCTCCTCGCTACTGACAGTCAGATCTTTCATCAGGAAACAACAATTTTAGAGCATACATATTCATCTTCTTCCTCCATCACTGAAGAAAAGCTTCACCAGCCGGCCCTCCATTTTCTTCTCCTCCTTTATTTTTTGAGAAAGGTAACAGTATTATAAATCTTCAGCACAAAGACTATACAGGAAACCATATTTTAAAGTTCAAAACAAGCAAAAGTATACATTCTTCCTTTCAAGGATCCAATAATATCTAACAGGGAAACTACATCTTGTAAGAGTTCTTCTTTACTTCAAAAATGAAAAGTAAAAAAGGCAGTTCATCTTAAATTTCTGGATAGAGTTATTTCTTCCTTCAAAACATCTCAAGTTCCTACCGTCCACCAGATACTTGAAGCAATTGCATTCCACCATGTCTTCTTCCCCACAGTCCCTCTCATGTTGTTCCAGAATATTAATAGTTCTCCAGTAGCCACTGGCATGACGTATTTGATCTCTTTCATGCTTTAAAAAATTGTCATAACCCTCTGTTACCTCAAAAGGTAGGAATACGTGGTAAACACTTTCTGAATCCTTCCCACATAGATAACATTTTGAGCACAACTGTGCTCCCCTCTCCTCAGGTGACCATGTGTGAGGCTTGCTTCCTTCGTACAAGCCTTTCCTTCTCTTATCCTTCAACTTAAAAACTATATTTCCGATCAAAAGATCAACCTAGAACCACCGCCAGAGTACTCCACAACACCCATGACCAGACCATGATAATCATGAGAGGAAATCGGCAATTCACAAATATTAAATGCAGATAAAGAAAAGAAAAGCCTTGCAACTGAATCTTCAACGTCATGACCAGTTATGCCCTTTTAGATGATTCCATACGATCACATTCATAATAGAACATGATGACTGACTTAGGGGGCGTTTGGCTTGGCTTTTTTTAAGTAGCCTATAAGCTAAAAGCTAAAACCCATAAGTTGATCTTACCCTACTCTTGGCTTTTAGCTTATCTTTGTACTTCTTTTTATCTAAAGAGAGGTGCTTCAAATCTCTGTCTTTCCCAAACACCTCCAAAAAAAAAAAAAAACTTAAAAGCTACATAAATAAGCCAATCCAGACACCTCTTAGACATGCTATGGCATGGCAACCTGGAGTAAGATGCAGGAAATTACAAATTGAAGTGCTCAAAAGATGAAAAGTTCTTCCAAAATTTTGACGTCGGTCTTCAATTTATTTACGACGAATAGGACCCTAAAATTCATTGATAGAAGAAAGAATGTGTGTATAGCAACAAACAAGTGTATGGCACCTTGACTTGTAGCTATAGGTCGACACAAAAAATAAAGGTCGTGACAGATACCTCCTCTGAAGACCCACCATCTGTTTGCCCCTTGGATTCACCATATTTGGGAGGAGATATCAAACCCTCTATCATGTTCTTAGCTTGGTCCTTTTCTGCCATCAAAGAGGCTAATTCTCTCTGACCTGTTTGGCCACACATCATCTCGTCCATTCTGAATGAAATACCCATAAGGTCAGACTAATAAACGAAGAGACAAGAAGCTCATAACACTGAAAAAAACTATGATAACAACATGGAAAACCCCTTTTAAAGTAAAAGCCACAACAAATTTCCACATTAACACTCTCATATTGAAAAATTATGGTAGAAAAGTTCAAGAGCAACAGCTAGTTGTTTAACGACAACAACCCACCCAGTATGATCCCACATTGTGGTGTCTGGGGAGGGTGGGGTGTTAGCAGACAGAGACTACCCTGCCTTTTAGGAGTAGAGAGGTTGTTCCCAACAAACCCCCGCTAAAGAAAACGTGGAAAAGAAAATGTTTGACAAGTGCAAAAGTAAAACAGCTAGTTGTTAACATGCAATATCTGGAGGACTCAAAGGGCTAATGCTAGAAACATTATTAGCAATGAAAATGCTCAATTTTGATCAAGGGGACAGCTTAATCATCATCATTAATCGGAAGAAATCTCATAAAAGTACAAAAATATAAGCCCATCCCAACATGCCTCATACTTTCTTAGATCAAAAAGCTCAGCTACTTGAATATGCAATTGTCCTTGCTCAGAATCTCTGGCTGATGAGAACACGAAAATCACACGAGAACGAAACCTTCCAGCTTCCTTGTGTAGACTAGGTCAATGATACATTGCGGCACAAAGATGAAAAGTGAAATTAAATTTGAAAAGACTAGGACTGAGGCGACCTGAGAAAAGCATGCCGAGTAGAAGTGTCTATATCCCCAGCTGAGTATGCTTCATGATTAAGAACCTCTTGATGAAGAAACTTGGCACAAAATTTAGAAACTTCATCCCCTACAAAATGGAAGACCTTATTAAGTGTTAATACGGGGTCTAAGCAAAATGTGACTACAGCAAGCTACTTAATAAAGTAAACAATGGAATGGAACTGGAAACTGTTCCCTCAACATAGTTGCAATTATGAGGAGATAAAATTGTTTTGAAATCCAGCAGTATTGTTTGAAGGAAGTAATCATACATTGTAAGTGATCCCCCTACTTGGTAGGCTAGAAGGACAGGTGATAAATATCCAGGAAGTAGACAAGTAAAGCTGGCTCAGACAAGGATGGTAAATACTCAACGAAAGAAGGCTATGCAAACTCATATGGTTCTAAAGAAGAACTTGATAACTGGTCATGGAATGGAAGACTAAGCTCCCAACAAAGATCATATGCTTCAGCTGGACAGCCCTTCATGAAGCCTGCCTCACTCAAGATGACCTTAAGAAAAGAAAATTTCAGATTGCCAATAGATGTTACATGAGCCAACAGAACCTTGAGTCAAACAACCATCTATCTGTATATTATACAGTCACTGCTGACTTATGGAATACGTTTTTGTCTATATTTGGTATTAATTAGGTATTGACACATAGAACCAAAGAGGCCTTTGACTGCAGTTGCAATTGGAGAGTTGATAAGTCCATCAAGCATTCAAGGCAATCTTTTTTTGTTGGTACCTGCTAGTATCTTTTGCTGTGTATGGTCATAGAGGAACAACAGATGCTTTGAAGGTTTATCAACTCCAAATCACTCCCTTAGGGCCAGATGTTTTTTGTATCTGTTAGTTGGCATCTTTCACCGATAGATTCCCCTGAGAACTTTTTGAGCTTTGTTAGCTCCCTAGTACTAGTTTAGTCTTTTTGTAATTGAGCTAATGATGTTTTGCCATCTTCCTAACTTTTTTACTATTCTGCATCATCTTGATGCCCGCAATAAAAATTTCTTATTACTTCGCCAAAAAAGAAAGTGAGGAGACGCAGAATTTCCTGGTCTCATTGCCTCAAAATAAATTTAAAATTTTGTGTCATAAATCTGAGCTGTTTCTCAACTAAGAATTATTGAGAATAACCTGAAAGAGACCCTGTTCAAGAAAATGATAATCTGTAGAGGACTGTGGAAGACATGGCCTATGAAGACTCACTGAAGAACAAAAAAATTCGAGATGCAGCAAGAAATGTGAAAAAAGGGATCTCAAACTACTACTATTTGTAGCTAACATAGATTTCTGTGATGGATACAGAGCTTTGGCACATACTGAAACAACTAAAAAAGAAAATGAGGAAAGAGAACGGAGACATGTCAATCGAGACCCTATCCTCTCAAAACTTATTTGAGAGTTTAAGATTACTGACAATATTGCAATTGGAAAGGGTCTTAACATATCCGACTTAAGAAGAAATCTGTTTCAAAATAATCAAAGTTGACACTCAATATCTATATGGATAATACTTCATTTGGATTTCAATATACTGAAAGTGATAAAAAAGAAGACAATAGAATTACATTCAGTAAATTGCAGAGAAATAAAGTCACTCGATAGCTATCTGAAACAACGGAGGTGGTGCCTATTAGCAGAGCCCTAAAATATTAAAATAAGTAAAACAGAAGAGCTTTCATCAGCCTTTTAGGGCCAGGAATTGAAAGAAGTGCCATGTTGAGAAACCAGATAGGGAAATAAGGAAAAATGGGTCATGGAAGATGCTCTCAGTACTAGTTAGGACCAGGAACATGAACTACCAAGTTCAATAGAAAACATGACGATCAGTTCTTCTTCTTCACTAAAAGGAAGAAGTGACTCACTTTTATGAGAACTTTCTCCATCGAGAGAAGAGCATGTGCGGATTTCGACACAAAACCTAGAGGACCATTTTTGGGTGAATAAAGTTAACAGAAGTTAGTAATAAGAACTGGTCCACTATAGGAAATAACGGTGAAGGCATTCAACACCAGGAAATGGCCTGAGGACAAGTTGCTACGGGAAAACACTTCACTTTAATCAACGTCAAGTTTATGATAAGAAGAACGTTCATGAAAAGTTCTGATTCATTTGGAATTGCATGAACATGCAAGATGTAACTATTTCATAGCATCATCATCCATGTCCAAATTATTTTTATAACTTTGTTGGAGCTGGGGACCTCTTGGAGGGTGAAAGAATGACAAGCTAAAGATTGTTCTCGCAAGAGGTTCATGATGTATAACGGGAAGGCAGATCACAGAAAGTAAATGGAATTGAGCAACTGAAAATGTAAAACGGCATAACCACTGTCCTGGGACAAGATACGGCAATTGAAGAGCTGTTAAAAAATCGACAATAACCCTCTCGTAAGATATTAAAGAACCATGGAATGAGAGGACATCCAACTTCCAAGGAGAAAGTGAAGGATAAACAGATACTGAAGTTTAAATTTCTTCTTCTTTTCTTTTTACTTCTTTAAAATACGCTTACACACATGGTCATACGCTTTTCCCTGTTTTTGGATGACATTGATGAGATGAGATTTCTATAAACAATTGCACCAATGTAATTATATGTCTACAATACAACAAAGAAACATATTTAACAAACCATTAAAGTGACTTCCTGCTTCAATGCAGGGAAAACTTGAAAAGAAAAGAAGATGTAAAGCAACTATACAAATATACATGACACATGCAGTCAAAAGATAGAAATTCCTCAATTCCGTCATATCTGTAACTAAAACATTACCAGATCTCAAAGTTTCAGCGAAGTAGAAAAGAGAACTAAACATTATCTTCAAGAAAAAACTTTGGTCAGTAAAAACATGGGAACCAAAAGCTCATATGTTGCCCAAAAGAGAAAGAATGATAGTAAAAACATAAGTATCAAATATCAAGTGCCACCTAATATGCATACTCAAACAAAGACCAGCATTGTTAGCAAAAGAAAGTTATAAAGTCCTGTATCAGAAGAGTAAGATTCTTACCTCCATGTCCATCATAAACACCAAAGAAGGAAGTGGAAGAGTCCAAATTTGGATGAACTGCATGCTATATAAAATCTCAAATCAGCATTTTTGTTCACCGCAATTCCTAAGCATGATCTTACGACACTGAGTAATAAAATGAAGCCAAAGCTACTTGGGAGTCGCCATCATGTCAGATAAATAATAAATTGGCAAAGCACGATGGCTAAAAGGGATGAATAATGACGATATGAATATCTAAAAAAAGGCATAGGAACCATCATACATAAGTTTAGAGATTACAGAAGCACACATGCATGCACTTACAGCATCTTCCATGGTTGCACGCCATCCTTGCATTGATGACAAGCCATATCTTAGTCTGTCATTCTCACCATCCTCCGACACTTTTTCAGTTTTTGGACTACTCAAATATATTCCCATCTTCACCTGCATATAGAAACCATACAATAAACATATTTACATGCACAATCAACACTATAAATTTAACCTTTAGTAAATAAATAAATGCTTATATATAATATAGAAAATACACAAACTCGATAGATACATCACACAATACAAGTTAAGCACATACAATGGAGAAAATAGCTAAATATACAAACTTAATTCTTCTTTTGTGTCATACTCATTTTATCTAGTGTAGAATGCCTACAAAAACAGAGAATCACAACAGAATTGATTTGTTTACAGAAGAAATAATTACTTATTGCAAGAAAAACTTTTATGTAAGTAAATTTCTATATTTACACAGACAAGTTCACTATATTCAAAATTAGGATTATTCAAATTAATACATAATAAAATGAAAAATTACAAAATTTGTTACCAGTACAAAGATCGATCGATAAAATAGGAAAATAGAAATGAATCAAAAAAGGGAAATATTGTGCGTTAGGGTTTGAAAGAAAACTTACTCTCCAATGCCGAAGTCGGTGAAATGATTAGAGATCGTTTAGCGGCCAATCGGCGGTGCATGACACTACTTTTTCATGCTATTTTATTTTTCTTTTTGCCTTTTCATCTAAATATTATCTGTAAAATATTTCATAGGTATAATATATAATTAATTATTATTATAAAATTAGAATATTATTAAATTGTAATGAAAAATTATCCTATATCCTGTAGTCCAAGCACGCCGTTTTTGAAATTTTAGCGCCGTAGCACACATTTCGTACTGGAAAACTTACCTATCGCTATCATATATACTAAATTTAATTTTTAAAAAGAATAATAATCACATATATTATTATTTTGATATTTTATATGGTATATTTTAAAAGATACAATTGAATAAACAAATTTCTTAAAATTAGAATTAATTAATTATATTTACATATAAACACTAAAACTAATGGCCCGATTGCAACTAATAATTTTTGTCTCTCGTTAATTGTTTTCCTTTACCAGTCCTCTACTCCAACATTATCTCTAATCCCTCACGCCCTCCTCCATTTCTCTCCCTTAATTAGGAACAATTCATATTGGCACAACTAATTAAGGATAAACGTCGAAATGTTATCATCGAGTATGGAGATATATATATGCAAAAATTATCATCGATCGTTTTTTCAGTTTTAACATCGCTAATGCTACATTTGACTATAGAAGGAGGAGGATAAGATACACGTTTTTGGATATATGTATTCGAGATACATGTTTTGGATATAACATATGAAATTGAAATTTGATATTTCAAATTTAACTAGATACATATTTCTTTAAAGTTCAATTGTATAAACTTTTACAAATTAGATTGTGAGATATATGCTCGAGATACATGTATTATTTATGGCGAGATTCATGTATCCAACAATTTTTATAGTTTTTATAAATATTGATACATGTATTTGAGATGGAGTTGATGTTTCTCTAAAGTTCAATTGTATATATTTTTACAAATTAGGTTGCGAGATATATGCTTGAGATACATGTATCATTAATGACGAGATACATCATCCGACCTTTTAGAAGTTGGTGTAGGATTCATGCTTACAATTGTAAGGAGATGCCTCAACAATACTGTGATTGACTATTTGAAAAATAAATTCGATCCAAACTTTCAATACAAAGGAATAAATAGATGAAGAAGATGAAGAGTACAATACATAATTAGTTGATTTTATGATTTCATTATCTTAGGAATTACAGTTGGTATTAAGGATCCTGTAAATCTGTTGAGTTGTTAATTAGTCATCAATTAATTTTTTAATTAAGGAAATAAGTTCACTCCCTTTAATTCATATTAATAAATTATATGTTTCGGCTTTAAAAATGTTGGAGGCATGTATCTCGTCATTAATACATATATTTTGAGGCCAAAATATGGTATAAAATAATATTATGAACTATCAGGATTTCTAGTAATTAAAATTTATAGTAGCCAGATTTATGTAATATGCCTTATTTGAAAATATGTATCTCACTCGTCTCTCTTCCTATTTTAGTGTATCTGGTAATAAAAATACATGTATCTCAATGTATTTTCCTCAACATAGGGTAGGAAATTCTTAATTAGTGATAAGATATGTAATATTTTGAAAACATAGATGATAATAGTATATATGTTAATAGAATATGTCTAATTATCTAGTTTCTCGAAATTTCAGAATTTAATATTAAATTTTAATGTTATATGTAGAAATAATATTGAATTCAATTAAACTCGATATGGCACATTAATACGCTCATTTATGTACTAATATCATTTTTATTCCAATATTCTTTTATTATTTGATCAAATTAGTATTTCAAAATAAAATTAAAATATTGAGCTACTTTTTCCAATTTGAGTTTAAAATAAGCTTTTGTAAAGAAAATTATTGATGTGGACTAATCAACTACTATTATATTAACTAGTATACGTATTCGCGCATTGTGCAAATATTTTAAAATATGATTATGTTTTAGATTAAAATAATTAATAAGACGCATTTAGTAATGTATATTTAAAAATAAATAAATATCTAACTTATTTATTCGAGCAAATTAAATTTTCATTATTATTACACAATTTAATTTTATATAATATTAAAATATTACATTTTATAAATTGTTTTTTGATTATTTTACATTGATATAAACTATACGATATTTTAATTCAAAAGTTAATAATAATAAAATCAAATTCCATTCTGCTACCTATACGTTCATTACTTCATTTTCTTCCAAAAGCCTCCGTTGTTTCTATATAAGTTTTTCGTCATTCAATCGCCATTGACCTTCAATAGATATGAATCTATTAAAATTAACAAAAATAGATCATCACTATCAAATCATTGGGTAAAACTTTCTAAAAAAATTTAAACATTGCATACAAAAATTATTTTGAAACTTTAAAATAATTTTATAAATTTATTTTGAAACTTTAAAAAGTGTTGTGGTAAAAAGAATATAATTTGCATATAACTTCGATATAATTTTAAATGATATTTTAATATTTTACTATGTTAAAAGAAACACTATCCGTATAAATATAATTTTTTTCAATTAATCAAGTTTTAGAGTTTGTGTGTGAATGGAAATTTAATGAGGAATTTTAAAACTGCCAATTTATATTTTTGTTTTTAATTAAATAAAAAAAAATTAATCTGATTCGCATAAAGCTCTATCTCAAGCATTCTGTGTGACGATCAATGAATCAAACGTTGTTATGCAGAAATAAAAATCCTCCATGAAGCAAGTCGAGCGTGCGTCTGGTTGAGATAAATGACACACCATATTCAGGAAATGTGTGGTTTTTCCTTGAAAAAAAATATGCCAACCACAATGTACGAAGATTGAAGACATTATTGCAAGAAATTAAGTGACGTTTTAATCAGGGGAGTACAATACGCGTTGCACTCTTTTTCCCTTGATCGAGGTTTTTCCCCCATTGAATTTTCCTGGCAAGTTTTTAATGAGGCAACAAATAATGCATATCAAAAGATATGTGTACTCTTTTTCCTCCACTAGAATTTTTTTCTTACACGGTTTTTTCTAGTAAGGTTTTAACGAGGCACAATATCTATGGACATCCAAGGGGGAGTGTTATAAATCCATTAAAAGAGTGGATAGTCCATAAAGTAAGTATATGAACAACTATCCATATTCACTAGGTTTCATGAACCTTTTTGGATAAGAATGTAACTATTTATGATGATACTTAATATGGTGACTTTTGGAGTGATTTCTCAACCTATAAATAGGGTTGTTCATTCACTATTGTATGATATACAGATGAGACTTACATATACTTGAATAAGAAGAAAATTCCTCTTCTTCTATCTACTTCTCTTGTCTTCTTCTCTTTATGATTATATTCTTATAGCTTGATTTTATAACATGTTCATATATTTTTTTAAATAAATTTTAAATTATTATTTAAAACAAATCGAAACATAAATAGAATAAGTTTTAGAACTTCCCATTAAATCCCTACCGAAACATAAACTCAAAAAGCAGATTATGAAAAATAAATTACAATAAATTAAATGACTTTTAAAAAATATGAAACTTCACACGGAAAAGATTTACAAAAAATCTCTAATAAATTGTCATTTTAAAAACGAAAATAAAAATTGTAAATATTTAATATTTATCTTTAAGAAAATTACGAATTTAAATAATTTGAATTAATTATAATTGTGATATTAATTCTCACTTATTCATTTATTGTAATGCAAAGAATACAAAGTAAAATATGTTACAAAGAGAATAATTTTTCCGTTCCAAAATAAAAAACAAGAGTTTCTGTCGAATGTGATGTAATGGCCTTTAATGCCATTAACATTCATAATGCGTTATAAGATTAACTCTTGACTCTAAAATAACTCTTATAGAAATTTCGTATATAAATATTGTCTTTGTGAAAGCTAAAAAATAGACCATTATCAACACAAACAAAAAGAAGAGAAAAACATTTCTGTCTTTTCTTAGAATATTTTTTGGGCAATTGGTTTTGAGAAACCTCCAAACTCTCAGCCATGAGTGCAGGTGTTTGAGAGTAACTATGGAACCTTGGGGAGCGACCGGCTGTAGCGATTTGCACCGGAGTCGAGCCGAAATCGCTTTCAAGGCAGTGGATTGCCACGACACACTGTTTGTGATAAGTTATTTACTATTTTATAATTCCATTTTAATATCAATACTATAGAATTTTTCCCAACAATTTGAAAGCGATTTACTAACATACAATATTGATAAATGATTATTTCATTGAACAAAACTTTTAATGATTTGTCAAAACGTGAACCTTTGGATGGAAATAATTTTAAACGATGGTCAGAAAAACTTTTAATATTTTTTGAACAATTAGAAGTTGATTGTGTTTTATTTGAAGAACTTTCTATGAATGGTTCTAATACTAGTACTGATTCTAGCAATGTTATAACTGTTGATGATGTTGTTAAAAAGAAGTTTGAAAAGGATAACAAAATTGTTAGAGGACATTTGCTAAATCATATGACTAATTCTTTGTTTGATTTGTTTTTAAACTATAAATCTGCCAAAGAAATATGGGATAGTTTGGAAAAGAAATATGGTATGGTGATGTAGGAAAAAAAATATGTTGTCGGTCAGTGGATTAAATTCCAGATGGTTGATAATAAGCCAATAATGAAACAAGTTCACGAAGATGAGAACTTGACTGCTGATGTTCTCAACGAGGACATGAAGATATGCGAGATATTTCGCTTGAAAATTTTCCACCATCTTGAAGTGATTAAAGAAATCAATTAAAATATAAGAAAAATAATTTAACCCTCCGAGAACTTATCAGTCACATGAGGACTGAAGAGGCGAACCATCTCAAAGATAAGATGGAAGAACTTTCTCTTAATTTTTCTAAAGCTAATCTTGTTGAATCTTCTGGTACTGTTGTGAAAGACATGTTAAAAGGAAAACAGAAGAAAGTCTCAAAAAAAGAACTTATGAAGAAGAAAAATCAATTCAACAAGCCGGAGAGTCAAATTCAAAAATTTAAGGGCTCTTGTTTTGTTGTGGAAAAGTTGGTCACAGAGC